TTAATGCCCGGTAGTAAGCTTATTGCCCGATGAAGATTCGGCAATTAGACGAATCACATTAGAATCCATTTGCAGTGCACAAACGTCCTATAAAAAATTAACTAAAAACAATAATAATAAATCATTCTGGACAGAATTAAATATTTCTTGGGTAAAAAACATATTTCTTGAGTCTAATAAACATTTCTTGGATCAATTAAATAATTCTGGACAGAATTAAATATTTCTTGAGTAAAAAAAATATCTCCTGAGTCAAATAAATAATTTTTTTACTTTTGCATAAAGAAAAATATTTCTCGACTAAAATAAATTTTGTTCAAGTCTATCAAACAATTTTTGACTAAAATATTCCTTTAGTGAAATAAATATTTATTGAGTCAAATAGAGATTGTTTGATTTAAATAAATATTTCTTGACTCAAATAAATGCTTCTTGACTCTTATAAATATTTGTTATCATTAAGAAATATTTCTTGAGTCTAATAAATATTTTTTGACTCAAAAAGAAATAATTCTTGGATGAAAAAAAATATTTCTTAGGAAAATATAAATTATTTATTTGACTCAGGAAATATTTTTTTTACTCAAAAAATATTTAATTCTGTCCAGAATTATTTAATTGATCCAAGAAATGTTTATTAGACTCAAGAAATATTTTTTTTACCCAAGAAATATTTAATTCTGTCCAGAATGATTTATTTCAGTTAAGAAATGTTTATTTGACTCAAGCAATATTTATTTTAGTCGAGAATTATTTATATGAGTCAAGGAATATTATTATCATTATTATTGTTTTTAATTAATTTTTTATAGGACGTTTGTGCACTGCAAATGGATTCTAATGTGATTCGTCTAATTGCCGAATCTTCATCGGGCAATAAGCTTACTGCCGGGCATTAAGCTTACTGCCTAGGCAAATAGACAAATCTGAACGATTTTGTCGTGTATTCGTCTAATTGCCGGCAGTAAGCTTATTGCCTAGGAATTAAGCTTAATGCCGGATTCTTCTAGTTGCCTACGACATATATATATATATATATATATATATATATATATATATATATATATATATATATATGTGACTGTCCACGAGAAAACAAGGCTTAGCTCCCAAACGTGAATTTCACAGGGCGAGCGATTGAAGTACTACGATTGAAGTTAACGATTAAAGTCCTAAAAATGACATCGAAACTGTCATGCATATTATTTTAGAAAATTTGAAATGTGATCCGAAAAACATTTGTGTTAAAGCTTGAAAAAGTCTTTAAAGGCATTAAAATCTAAGTTTAAAATAAAATACGAAAAAGCAAGCAGGAAGTATGACAGATTCTTAAAACAGAACGAAGAGTGGCTTAATTCTGAATTTGATATTGAAACAAAGGGACTATTTGAAAAAACCGAAGTAAAAGGTGCAGGGCCAGGTCGTTCAAAAATGGAATTTAATCTTAAACAAGATCGTTCTCGAAGACAAGAGATTGCAAATATAAGCGCTGAGCACAAGCATGATCCACAAAAATTAATAATTAAACAAAAATTAATAATGTTTTGCATGCAAAACATTCTAAGCAAGTCAACTTAAGCATTATTCTTAAAAAAATTATAAAAACCCTTGAACAGCCTAGAAAGATTCGCAAATTATTGGATACATCACATGTTTGAAGTAAAAAAAAATCTGTTGAAGAAGCATTTTTACTCGATGGACCGATGTCCAAAGAGTTATATGTAAAAATGCGTTTATTCTCAATAGATTCGAAAGCAGACATTTGGCCATCATATAATAGTGTTAGAGAAGCTAAATCTGCATGCAGACCAGCAAAAGAATCCATTTCAATCAGTGAAACTGTTGCTGAAGTTGAACTTCAATCCTTACTCAATCACACCTCTAAAATGATTATTGAAATTCAGAATGAGTCTATACTTCTTTATTTGAAGCAAAATAATATAATAGAGATGAAAGTTCTATTAATGTATTCATGGGGTTTTGACGGAAGTTCGGGTCATTCTGCGTATAAGCAAACTTATAAAACTTTATCAACAAATGAGGAAGTAAGTGATCAGAACTTATTCGCTACCACACTTATACCTTTACGATTGTTGACTGATAATAATGTTGTGCTGTGGAACAATGAATCAAATCAATCTGCAAGATTTTGCCGTCCTATTAAATTACAATTTACAAAAGAATCACAAGACGTAATTTTAACAGAAAAAGATAATATTGAAAATAAAATTAACAATCTAGAAGTTTTCAAAATTTTGCTTGACGTAAACCATCATATTGATGTTCACTATTGTCTTTTCTTAACATTAATCGACGGCAAAATATTAAATATTATAACAGGGACAAAATCCATGCAAACTTGTGCGATATGCCATGCAACTCCAAAGACATTCAATGATATTTCTAATAAACAAAAAGACATTTTTTTGCCAAACGTTAACTCACTTCAACACGGAATTAGTTCACTACATGCGTGGATTTGATTTTTAGAATTATGTTTGCATATCGCTTATAGACTTGACGTGAAAGTTTGGCAAATGAGAACTAAGTTGCAAAAAGATTCTTTTCAAGCTTGAAAAAATCTTATTCAAAATTTACTTTGGAAAGAATTTTGATTAAGAGTAGATAAACCGAAACCGGGTGGTTCCGGCACTTCGAATGATGGCAATACAGCTCGCAGTGCTTTTGCGAATCCACATTTATTTGCTCAAATTCTTGGCCTTAATACACAATTAGTTTGTAACTTTCGAAATATTTTGATTGCTTTGTCATCCAAAAGTCCGCTTGATTACAACAAATTCGATGTATTTGCTACTGCTACTGCAAAGATTTACATTAATTATTATTATTGGTACCCGATGCCAGCAACGCTGCACAAAATTTTGATTCACGGTTCTGAAATAATTAAAATGAGTCTGCTTCCAGAAGGTATGCTTGGGGAGGAAGCATCTGAGGCTCGAAACAAAAATTACAAAAACTACAGACAATCTTTTAGTAGAAAGCATAACCGTACAGTTAATTTAGAGGATGTTTTCAATCGCGCAATGGATACATCTGATCCTAAGATATCGTCCATGAGTCTCTCTTCGCATCTTAAATACAAAAAGTTATTATCAGTACCTAAAGAGGTAAGTAACCTATTTTTAAATTCTGAAACTGAAAATCAGCACAGATCAATCAACACTGATGGTGATGATGATCTCGATGGTGAAGAAGATGAGTTAGATGATGTTAATATTTCAATGTTAGATGGAATAGAGTTATCTGATAATGAAGATAATTAGATCGAATCTTAAATTATTTAAGAAAACAATTTTTCTTTTTAAACTTTGTTCTTTTTAAACTACGCTTTTATTTAATTATACAAACTAATAAAATAAAAAAATAAAAAAAATAAATAAATAAAAAAAAAATTTTTAAATAAATAAATGAAAAAAAAAATAAAAAACGGGATGTTGAATCGGATTAGGAGCCTTCTCGTGGCACATCCTGAGCGTTTTAATAAAAGCAGCCAATCTTAACCGTCATCTATATTCAAAGTTTACAAATGTAAAGTCAAATTGGCTAATATTTAAAAAAATGTTATTAATTTTTACTTTTATATAATAAGTTTTATAAAAAAGATTAATTTTTTAATTGTTATGTTCTCCATATTGGATCCGCCATTTTGAATTTTGAAAATCTTACTTCAAATTCGTGATCAGGGACCCAAAAATCCCTTATATACCAAGTTTCATTTAAAAAGATTAATTTTTTTATTGTCATGTCCGCCATATTGGATCCGCCATTTTGAATTTTGTAAATCTGACTTCAAATTCGTGATCACCGACCCCGAAAACAATATATAGGATAATTTAAATTTTTAAATATTTCTTAATTTTAGAGTTATTAATTTTTGCCAAAAATTTTCGATTCTGGCCCACTGTGCATTACTTGAAACACTGCAAATGTAAAAAGTACTCCAAATTGATAAATACTGATGTGTATATATAGCGCTATAAAACACATAAAATTCCACTTTTACTCATCCCAAGTGCTTCAATTGAATCTGAGCAAATCTTCCAATTTTTCTTTTTCTAATTGTAGGGTCTAGGAGTATGAGGGTCTACGAGGTTTAAAAGTGTTCTAATAGTGTCTTCTCTAACAGTTCTGTATAGTGAAGTCTAAATTGACAATAGGGAGCAATCAAATGTTTACCAGCCCTTTTTTTACTCCCAAAAGCAAACACAATGTAGATCTAAAGCTGTTGAATGCTTTGTGTATTAATTACACGTATTTACAAAGATTTGTTTGGATTAAGGAGATACAGGTGGCCTTCTAAAGAGCTGAACCTCGCTTGTCGTTAGCACAAAGACTCAGTAATTAACCGCGGATTAGTGAGTCATTCTCGTCCATTAATTGATCAACTTTTTAACAGTTCTTCAGTTCCAGGATTTCTTATTAAGATGAGGATCTGAATAATAATCGTGCAATTATTTGTAATTGAATACTTGTAATGTCCGTAACTTTATGCATGAGATGTATATTACTCCAAGTCTGAGGGGTGATCAATCTAATCTGCATTGATACCTGGACCCGGACTTTTCAATTTTGGCATTCTCTGTTTCCGCTAGTCAAGGTCATTTCCTCGACCTCATACTGAAGGAGGTATCGCTTGCTGAGTCTACGACTCTAACAATAACTCTAAAAGGTAAATAACTAATACTTTAAATTTTGTCCCCATTTAAATTCTCTTTGATTCCACAAAGTTCCAATTTTGTTTTAGTGTGCCTGAAGACATCTGGATCTACTCTTTCTCTCTCATTCTAATTAAAAAGAATTTAAATAAAAACTTTAATAATTTAATTTTGCTGGAATTTTATTTCTCTCAGGAGAATAATGGTAGACGAATTATCACTTTTTCACTGCGCACACTGCTTTATTAATAAAAGAAATTCTTAATCTTATAACATTTATAGTATAATAATCTCAATATTATAATTAATATATTGGTTTAATAGAAACACTCTGAATATATAGAAAAAACGACGCGATCAGTTCAAACGTCTGAAAAGAAGTAAGTTAGTGACTCTATCATTTGATAGAGGGCCTTTCAAGTGGCGGTAAATTTAAATGCGCTGCATAAATAAAAAATACAAAGCTTGCCTCTGGCCGACACTCCCTCCCTTTGTAATTTTTAGTTTTCCTTATTTATCTTTATCTTCTTCAGAATAATCTGTAACATAAATAAAAATTAATTATTTTGTTCTTGAATTTTAATTTATTGATATTTAAACTTGTTGTAAAATTTTATTTCTCAAGTAGCTATGACTTTGTTCAGGTAAAGGTTTAGTCATTATATCTGCTTCGTTTTCTTTGGTAGCTATCCATTTTACTACCACTTTACCTTTTATGACGCAATTTTTTACATAGTCTCCATGTCTCTTTGACATAGAGTCCTTTTTTCCTTTGATTTCTCTCTCTTTAAGTTTTCTCTTAATCTCTGTAATATCATCATCGAAGTCTTTTAATTTTTGACAACCATCCATTTGAGTGCAATTTCCAGCTGCTTTATTGTCACACCACATTGTGACGGGGTAAAATATTTTTCCCGTAATGTCTCTAATAGCTTTATCAAGTGAAATTAACTCTTGACAAGTTTCACTCATTTCTAAATACTCTGTTTTACACGTTGATAAGGTTACCTGATTTTGCTTATGACTTCTCCACATTATTACATCTTTGAATAATTTTATTAGATATCCGCCAGTAGAAGATAAATCTTCACAGTCTCCGAAACTTGCATCTGAATATGCCTCTAAATCATTACCTTCACCTCTGAAAATTAATTCCAAATTTGTAGTTCCTCTCAGGTATCTAAAGATTCTTTTAATGTCCATCCAATCTCCTTCAGTAGGAGATACTTGTTTTCTGGATAAATAGTTTACAGCAAATGAGATGTCTGGTCTTGTAATCCCAGATAGATATAAAAGACTTCCTATTGCCTCTCTGTAAGGAGCTTTACATGGCTTTTCTCTTTCTTTTCTTTTCTCTGAATTTAATACTTCTTTATTTCTCATTTGCCTCGTTACCATGGGAGTACTCTGAGGTTTGCATTCTTTCATATTAAACTTTTCTAATATTTTCTCTGTATATTCTGACTGTTTAAGTATCATAGTTTTGTTCTTTCTATCTCTGAATATTTCCATTCCTAAAAACGTTTTAGGTTCTCCTAGATCTTTCATTTTAAAATTGTTGCAGTTCTGACTTAATCTCTTTTAATTTATGCGTACTATTACTGGCTAGTAGGATATCATCTACATACAATACTAGAAAAACCATGATTCCGTCTTTCCTCCATGTAAATAAACATGGATCATTTATATCTCTTTCTAATCCTAATTTAGATACCTCTTCTGTAAATTTTTGATTCCATACTTTTGAACTCACTTTCAAGCCGTACAAGGTTTTCTTTAAGGGGCACACCTAGTGTGAGTGATTGAAAAAAACGTCGATTTTTAGGAATTTTTTTCAGGGAAATTATTGCATCTAATTTTTTTTAAAGTTTTGTACATGTATATTTGTATAAATAGTAAACATTTTGTAATTTTTTCAAAGAAAAATATCTTTTTTTTAAAGAGTTATTCGTTATATCCAAAAAAACCAGTTTTCCCACTGCTGCAGTTATTTCGGCCTTCTGAGTGACTGAAATCAAAAAAACCAAAAAGATTGTTAAACTAGAAGATATTTGCCGTACAATTAGGCTCGAGTTTTTCGATTTAATGAAAAATAAAATTTTGGGATGCCAAAAACCATCGGATTTTTTTGGCGAAATTTAAAAGCGTTTTTCAAAACTCCGCCATTTTGTTGCAATTCAATATTTTTTGACATCCAGAGGTTCATTGTACGGCAAATATCATCTAGTTTAATAATCTTTTTGGTTTTTTTAATTTAGGTCACTGAGAAGGCCGCAATCACTGCAGCAGTGGGAGAACTTTTTTTTCGGATACTCAGGAGATAGCGAATAACTTTTTAAAAAAAAGATATTTTTCTTTTAAAAAACTACAAAATGTTCACTATTTATACAAATATACATGTACAAAACTTTAAAAAAAATTAGAAGCAATAATTTCCCTGAAAAAAATTCATAAGAATCACCGTTTTTTTCAGTCACTCACACTAGGTGTGCCCCTTAATTTACACACTTTATTTTCTCTTATACATTTGTCATAACCTGCGCCTTCTGGAATTGTCATATATACTTCGTCTTCTAGTTTTCCATTTAGGAAAGCTGTTTTGACGTCTAATTGAACTACTTCCAAATCATATTTATTTATTATTGCCAGTGCTGTTCTAATCACTGCAATTCTTAATACAGGAGCATAAGTTTCTCTGAGTTGATATTCATTTCTATCCTTAAATCCTCTAATAACCAATCTTGCTTTAAATTTTAAATGACCTTTTTCATCTGTTTTCTTTTTAAATATCCATTTTGAATCTATCAAATTTAGTTTACGACCATCTTGATTTTTAGTTGGTTTATCTATTATTTCCCAGACTTCATTCTCTTTTATGGATAAAAGTTCATCTTCTATTGCTTTAATCCATTCTTCTTTGTCTGATGATTCCATTGCTTCCTTGTAGCTAGTAGGATCACCATTTACAGTAGCCAATCTAGTGTAGATTCTTTCATCCTTTTCTGAATTGTTTTCTTCTTTATCTTGAACTATATTCTGTGCTTGGTAGACCTAATTTGGTTCTCTAAATCGATGATTTTTTACGTTTCTTGAAGGCATTTTTCTTATTTTTGTTTCTGATTCTTTTTCATCAATATCTATGGTTTTTCTTTTAGGTGGTCTTCCTCTCTTTGGTTTGGTGGTTTTTGTTTCATCTGAATTTTCTTTAATTTTTGAATTAATTTTTGCAGACTCTAATTGTTCTTCGTTTTCTAATATTTGTATTTCTGATTCATTTGATTTGTAAATATCTCTGTATATTAATTTTTCATTAAATTTGACGTGTCTTGAAGTTAGAAATTTTCTTGTTTGTGGATGCCACAGCAAATATCCAGTAGGGGTGTAACCTACTAAGATCGCTTTTATTGCTCTTTCTGAAAATTTACTCTCTGAAATTGGTACTTTTATGTATGCTATACATCCGAACCTTTTGATTTCTCCTGTGTGACTATTTTTCTCTGGATTTAATACTGTTAGTGGCGTCTTAAAATTCAATGCTTTGTGAGGAGTTCTGTTATAAATATGTATCGCAGCTTCTGTCGCAAATCCCCACATTGATGCAGGTAAACCTGAATCTAACATTAGTGCTCTGATTTTTTTTTGAATTGTTTTTGTTAAATCTCTCTGCTGTTCCATTTAATTCGGGTGTGTAAGGTGGAGCGAAATCACTACTGATTCCTTCTTTTGTCATCAAATCTGCAAAACTACCACCTGTAAACTCTGTACCATTATCTGCTCTGATGTAGCATACTTTTTCATTTTTTCCTATCATATTTCTCATATGAACTAAAAATTCTTTAAGACTTTCTCCAGCTTCATTTTTATGTTTAATGCAATAAGCTCTTGCATATCTTGTGTGGTCATCTATTAATACTACAATAAATTTATTACCTCCGGGAAAAGAAATTGGTTTAATCGGTCCCATTGTGTCTGTATGTATCGTGTGTAATGGTCTATTTGTTCTGTCTCTTTTGTCTCTGAAGGGAAGACTTTCCATTTTAGCAAAGATACAAGTCTCACAGTCTAAAATGTCTTTGTCAAATTTGACATTTTTAATTTTCTGTTCTGATTTCTGTAAATGTTTCAAATATTCTAAAGATGTGTGTCCTAATCTTAAATGCCACATCATTCCTTCACTAATTTTATTTATAGTTTTCTCTGAATATTTTTCTGGATTTATTTTTCTGAGTTCTTCAATCTCTGAATCTGATGTAATTTTGTTTATATATATCGTTTTTGGATATAGTTCTTGTATAGTTTCTGTATTCTCTATTTTATTTTTGTCAGAAATTTCCGGATTTCCCAAACTCACATGGTTTTTGAGTTCCTAGTAAAAACTCTGTATCCGTTTGAGTTTGAGACAGGAAATTTTCTAGAGAGACTAAATTTGCGGTTATGGTGTATTTTTCATACATATTGTTGATTTTGAGGTCATTTTGTACTTTTAATTTGATTATCCAGTTTGGTTTTTGGTAATCACCTTCTAAATAAATTTCATCTGAATCTTTATCAAATATTTTAAGTGTTTCATTGTCTAAATATATACCATACCCTGCCTCTGCAAATTTTCTTAACGAAAGCAAGTTATCTGAAATATTCGAAGCAGATATAACATTTACTAAACAAATTATACTATTTTCTTCTGTTAATAATTACAAATTACCTCTTCCGTCTATTTTAATATTAGCACTTTTCTTTTTATTTGCGCTTTTTATTACTTCATCTGTACTCTTAACAAAATCTCTAAGCAACAATCCTTTATTAATTATATGTTCAGTAGCACCTGGGTCCGCTATAAAAGTAATATCATTTTTGATTTTAGAAATACTTGAACTCTTACCTGCTAATTTTGCGTTGACATTTTTTGGCTTTTGTTTATTCTCCTTGTCGTATGGTGTGAATCTTTGATTTTTGAAAGTTCTGCTTCTGAAAATCCCTCTACCTCTTAAAGTAATCTCTAAATGAACCTCTTCCTCTGCCTCTATTTATTTATGAGTTTTTTTGTTCTTTGAAATTTTGATTATGGTGATTACTTTTTGCAAAATTTGCTTTTGTCTCTATCTGTCCGTGTTTGTCTGCTTCGACTAGTAAAATGCAATTTTTTATTTCTTCTAATGTCATGCGTATGTCTGCTTGACTTTTTACTAGATATGCCGACCTTAGTTCATGACAGCTATCTTTTACTGCTTTGTAAAATGCAGATCGTATCTCTTCAGTAGATAATTTTTCTTCTGAATTACAATTGTCATAATCTGTAACTATTTTGTCAAACCGATCGAAAAAATCACTTGCTTTTTCCTTCTTATCTCTCTTAATAGTATATAATTTTTCTCTGACGTAAGTGCTAGTCATGTTTGATTCTATTCTTCTGATTTTTCTTATTTTAGTTAAGATTGCACTTGGCTCATTTATTTTTAGAATTTTCTTATAATAGTTTACATCTAAATGAGATATGATAATATCTCTGACTAAAGTTTTTCTTTTAATAGTTTTCTCTGAATTATCATCTTCAAATTTTTCAGGATGAGTTAATATCTCTTTTAAATCATTTGACGCTAATTCTGAATATAAATGGTCGATCCAAGTGTCAAGATTGCTTTTGTTATTTAGTTTATAGTCTCTCTTAATGTGCACTTTACTCTGAAAATTTGACTCTAAGGTTCGATTCAGTTGGGCAAAAGTTCTGTTTATTTCTGCTAAGGACTAATTATTTGTGTCAGTGTCTGTTTGTTGTAACGTGTTAGTGGGTTCGGATCTCTGATCGTAAGAGGTAGAACTTAATAAATTTGTGTCTTTATTGGTTGCTTCGTTTAATTTTTCTTGCAGCGTACTCACTTCTGGAAGTACTGTCAATGATGTTGTGTTGGACTGCTTTGTTGTCTCTTTTAAATCTTCTGATAATAATTTGTCCATAGTTGAATTCATTTCATTAATTTTGCTAGCTAGATTGTTTGTAGCATCAGCTTGAGCTTTCATTGCTTTGATGAGTTCACTCCAATCAGATTCTGAGGGCATTCGATTCTCTGAAAAATTATGTTTTATTTTAATGTTTGGACTTGTATTTCGTTCAAGATACACAGACTCTAAATTTTCTGTATTATCAGGAACATATGGATCCATATTCTGACTTCTTTTAAATAATTTTATTATACTGTTCTTTTTTTTTAAATACCTTGTGATTGTTTTTCAGTTAGTTGAGACTGTTCTGTTTTCTCGCTCGTCTAGTTTTGTTGACCATTGCCATTGTTCTCTAAATTTTCATCCATGAATCTGAATTATATCTGCCAAACATTTATCTCTATAAATATGAATATTAAGAACACTGTTATCAATATTCGAATAAAAAATTATTGTTAGTCCACATTCGCATACTCCCTCCTAAACCAAATCTCTAAACTTTAGATTTTTGTTACTTTATGGGTAGGTGGCGGCCGCATATGCGAATGTACACTCAACAATTGATTTGTGTTTTTAATTAGATTCTCAATACTTTCCTGTGCTGAAAGAGAAAAAGAAAAAATTTTGTGTTCTCTGTTTCTCTGAAGAAAAATGTTTGATATGTAAGCAAATTACGTGTCTGGGGACGTTGTATTTTTACATGTCCTCATGTCATACATAACTTTTAAATCATGAAACGTACTACGTTCTTGATTTTAGGATTTCACGTTAGATATTCACTTATATTTTCTTAATAATAAACTGTTGGACTTATGGTCCTTGTTTCTGCATGTTTAATTGATGGCTCGAAATAATTGTTTTCCTCTTTAATTCTCTCAGCACAAAAATCTGATGTACAAAATTAGTACAATTCTGAATATTTTTGTAAATTGAATTTATAATCTAACCTGTATACGGTTCTTGTTCTCTTTCCCAGGATAAAATTCGTCACCACGTGCTGAGCCTATAACCTGTTGGAATTTTATTTCTCTCAGGAGAATAATGGTAAACGAATTATCACTTTATCACTGCGCACACTGCTTTATTAATAAAAGAAATTCTTAATCTTATAACATTTATAGTATAATAATCTCAATATTATAATTAATATATTGGTTTAATAGAAACACTCTGAATATATAGAAAAAACGACGCGATCAGTTCAAACGTCTGAAAAGAAGTAAGTTAGTGACTCTATCATTTGATAGAGGGCCTTTTAAGTGGCGGTAAATTTAAATGCGCTGCATAAATAAAAAATACAAAGTTTGGCTCTGGCCGACAAATTTCAATTTTAACAGTTCTTCTTTCTTGAACCTGTCCCTTAAGATCAGAGCCTTCCACTCTGTGTCTACCAATTGTGCGGGGAAACTGAGAAATAGCCGGGAAATTAATTTGACCGGGAAAAACCGGGAATTTTCTTACCAAGTTAAAAAAGTTTGATTATATTAATTTGTTTTTAAAAATTGCTTTATACTTTAATTTTTATTCATGTAGTATTTATGACAACAGACGCGAGTCAAAATTTAAGCCTAAACATATAGGTTTTATTTAAGTTTTAGCCGTCATAACGTAGGGTCTAATTGTGACACAATTATTTCGAATTAGACTCCAAAAACTGATTGAAATTTAGGATTTATAATAATAATATAACTAATTATTAGTTTTTACTATTAAAATTAAATTCCTGGTTGTTAACACCTTTTTAAATGTATTAGTAGAAAATAAAACCCGTCGAAGACGGGTCCGACAGCTAGTTATAAATAATTGTGTCGCAATTATACCCTACGTTACGATTGCTAAAACCTAAATAATAGTACATTATGCAACAAGGGAGGTACGTCCGAGTTTAAGTACCGAGCACAATATTGTGCGAGGTCATAAACGAGGTTACCTCCTTTGTTCCATACTTTGCTTTATACAACAAAAGCGTATTATGGTTACTCTATGCTACCTGTACCAGTGCATGCTAAGTTCTCCCATATAACCCAGCTGGTCAATAAAGTAACCATTATTGCCCTAGGGAGATAAAGGGTACTTTATTGACCTGTGAGCGGTCAATAATATACCCTTTATCTCCCTAGGGCTATAATGGTTTCTTTATTGACTGCTGGGTTAGTTGCTGAAATTTTCCGTGACTTTGTAAAAGACTCTCGGATTTAGTGGAAAGTATTTAAATTTTTAAAATCACTAAGTTTTAAAAATCATATTATCAGGTTGCAGGAAAAATAAACTACATTCGAAGAGAATTTAGAAAAAGGATTCAAAACTTTCAGCGTCAGTCGCGGAAAATGAAAACACAGCCGGCGCGCGAACGATTTGGCGACAGTCGCGAAAATCTTGTTCTATAGTATTCTAAACTTTCATCGATAGTCGCGGAAAATGAAAAATTCAGCCAACCAATGAAAAAAAAATTCTTTCAGTTCTTATTTATTTTATTCTTATTATGCCTTATATTCAATTACACTCTTACATTTATACATAATCACGACACTTATTACATGTAATCGAACACTATTTAAACAATAATTTCCTTCGTCAAACTAAATAACTAACACTAACACGCATATTACCCTACGCTTTCGCAGTTTCGCACGCTACAAATCTACTTTTTCATCGCCCTTATATATTAAATGAAACATTTCTTTACCGCTTGCGAGAAAAAGTGCAATATTTTGAAAATTATAAATCTCAAATATTTCTGCTCATCATATTCTAGAATTTTAAAGAGTATTTCAGTATGCTTTAAGGACTATTTAACACTTATTTCCATTTTATTATTTCTAATTTATCACATGTATAGAAGAATTATAATATTTAATGAAAATAATAATTAAACCAAACAAATTTTTTTCTGTTAATTACCCAGTAAACGAAAACTAATTGAAATGAATTAAAAAGAATTCACAAAGAGCTTTCGTGAATCCCGCTTTGTGACAAATACGAATTGGAGCCATAATGCAATTTTCCTGAATTCGTGAAACTGTATTGAACTTCCGAACCTTCTATCCGTACCAATTCACTGGACAAGTTTTGAGCCTTTAATTTTTTTCAATTCGTTAGCACAAATTCAATGCATTCCTTGGCCATTTCTTTCGAATGCGAATTCGTTTGGACAAATTGGTACATATTGAATTAAATTCAATTGAATATACAAAGAGCTTGAGTGAATCCCGCTTTATGACAAATACGAATTGGAGCCTACCAAAAATGTTAATTCGTTTCAATTCATTTGAATTAGTTTTTTTTTACTGGGTACTGTAAAAACTTCTTTTAACGATTAATAATTATATTATTGTATGTTATTATGTTTTTAATTATTTTGAATCATATGATTTGATATCTTATATATTATTATAATAATCAATAATAAATTATAATAATTCATAATAAACAATCCTAAAAATTTTGAATATAAAATATGTAAATAAATATTAAAATATAATTCTACAATTTCTATAAATTTATAATGTGCGTATTAAAAGAATTATTTACAATTTAATTATAATGAAATAAGCTCGAGAGTGATTATATTTTTTGATGAAACAAAATATTCATTTAAAGTTGGTATTTAATTGTCACAAATTATTTTAAATTTCTTACCGGATTTTCAAACTCCTCCATCGTAAAGGTGCGCGATACCAATGAAAATAAAAATAGTCTCTTTCTCATTGAAAAGTAATGATACCTGTACAAACTGTTTTATTTTTTATAATTTTGTTATTTAATAATTGATTTGAAATCGCTAAGAAAAAAATAAAAAAAATAAAAAAAGAAATAAATAAAAATAAAAAATAAATAAAAAAAAAAAATGAAAATAAAATAAATAAAAATAAAAAATACGTAAACAAAGTCAGTCAAAATTATTTCACGTGACGTTTACCGCCTGAGAGTTTGTGCATCTTTTCTGCGCATCATTTTCCGCGACTCGTCGACGAAAATTTCTATCAAAGTGTTACAATAATTCTACGACTATTTTCCGCTACTAGGTTTATAAAAAGTCCTCAACTTTTTTCAGAGAATTTCTGCTAAAAGCGAAGAGTATTTCAAAAAGTTTAAGTTTAAGCTAAAAGTAGGACTTAAATTTTGACTCGGGTCTGTTTACATAAATATTACATTAATAAAAATTAAAGTAAAAAGCAGTTTTTAAAAACAAATTAATAGAATAAAACTTTTTTAATTTGGTAAGATAATTCCCGGTTTTTCCTGGTCAAATTAAATTCCCAGCTATTTATCGGTTTCCCCGCGCAATTGGTAGACACTCTGTCAAATGTATTATAGTAGAAACTAAAACCCGTCAAAGACTGGTACTGGTATATAACATATTTACTTAAAAAAAGAGTATTTTTGTAGCCATCTGCAGATTTATTTATGGCTAAAACTTAAAATCAAGTAAATTTAAATTTGTTTAAAAAAAATAAACCGGGTAAAATTTGGACAACGCAGGGAATTTGTTTAAACAAACATAGAGACCCTGTTTAACTTATTGTCTTTACATTGCTCGAAACATCTTTAGTTGAAGTTAAAATAATCTGAAAGTAAAATAACGTAATTTTTTACCACCTAAGCTTTTACCCAGTATCATAATGATAGTATCGTATCACAGGTGACTTACAATTCTTGACATCCTGCGATATCATTTTTTTCATAAAATATTTATTATAAAACATCTCCATTTTTAAAGTTTTTGAAGTTCCTTCAATTAAAGAATATTGGATAAATTGGATAAATAATTATGAATTGCATTATTTTGACGACAAAATCTTAATCAGAGACCCCAAAAATACTACTGAATCAATCTTGACACTAATTAATAACAATTATAATTTTTTCAATTTTTTTATATCGAAAATATTTTTATACTTACATCTTAGTCATAGGATTTTGTGTGCAAAATTATGCTAAAATGTGACTAAATAACATGTAATACTTAATTATAGATAGTTTAAAAGCAATTAATTAAAAAATGTAAAATTTGGAAATTTGCGATTTTTTCAATTTTTTGAAATAATTTTTATACTTAAATCTTCGTTATAGGACAGTATTTTTGGAAAAATTATGCTAAAATTTGATTAAATAACATGTAATACTCAATTATAGAAAGTTTGAAAGTATTTTTTTCAAAAATGTCAAATTTGAAAAATTTCGATTTTTTGAAAACATTTTTATACTTACATCTTAGTTATAGGACATTATTTTTGGAAAAACTATTCCAAGATGTGACTAAGTAACATGTTATACTCAATTATAGAAAGTTTGAAATCATTTTTTAAAAGAATGTAAAATTTGAAAATTTTTGATTTTTTAATTATTTAAAAAAATTGAATATCTCCCGTTCTAATTAATATTTTTCAATCTGTAAATCTGTAAATTTATAAACCTTTCTTGGTCCAAGGTCTAACATTTTGCAAAATTTGGTTTCAAACGGTTGAGCCATTTTTAAGTGATGCGCGAACAAAGATTGTGTGACGTACATATATACACACATACATCCATTCATACATGCATACACGAAATTTCTTATTGGTATATTTAGAATCCTTGATGCTCAAAACGAATAATTATGTGTCAAATTTAAAGTTCTGAGCAATGTACAGACAAAAGTCTGATTTTATATACAGTGCCGCTCAATAACTTTTGCCCACCCTACAGCAATTAAAAACTTTACAAAAAGTTTTATATTTTGTTTATTGTTAAAGATAAACAGCTCAAAGGTATCTTTTTGAATGTCTTTTCCTGAGCTTTAACACTGTATAAAACAAAAATTAAAAAAATTAATTTGTTACACGGAGAGAAATTTCCAATAAAAATTACTGTGTTTGTCACCTGAAAGTATGTGCAAAATGTTTTTACTGAACTATTTGTATCGGAAGAATAGAAATATTGACTTGCGCACAATTTTATTTCATATGGAAAACAGTTTTATTTCCAAAGTGGCCTCGGAATATTTCTTTGATGAAAGCACCTTAAATATTGCTGAACCAGGACCTTCTAATTTGGTCCAAAGCAAAATATATTAACCGTACCATGAAATAGTCATGCGCAGGTTAATAAAA